ACATGTTATTCTCTCTACAGTGACTGGAATGGAAGCAAGCGTGGGCATGTTTACAAATTCCTTAGGTCCCAGGGATTTGTATCATCCTATGATATCGCTCATCAGTATACTGATAGTGATGCTGATGCTCATAAGGTTAGTGTCTTCCAGGTCCACTTGTGGTGTCTGTATGGAGCAAACCTATTAATGTTTAGATGCTGGTTGCTTATGACATGTTTGTTGTCCACTTTCTTCTGTCTTGTACAGTGGGTTAGCCACCGAAATCATAGGGGGAACATCTGTGGTGTTGATTTTATATGGCTTCGCAACCCTAGTAAGTCAAGAAAACCACTCAAGACAAGTTGGGCTGAAGCAGTTTTTGGTATAATAAAGGTGAGTTCATCAATTTCTGCATTAAATCACTTTAATTTTGCGACATGTTTAAGTGTCTCAAGAGACAATTTCAAACTCCTAGCTTATGTCATTTAATATTGAAAAGGTACAATACAAATAAATATGCACCGACTCTCTGGATCATACCAATTAATATTTGCAACATGAACTCTAAGAAACTCAAGTTACCAGATGGTTTAAGCTTGAGAAACAACATAGGTACCAGGAAGAACCTGTTAATGTTTTCAATTGTAGGGGAGGATGTAAAATTTATTATTCGACAAGCCCCAGTGCATGTTATGATTCTTGCCATAATGCATTTTGCATGCTAATTTTCTCTGAGCCATCCTTAGTTATAATTTCTGTGAGTGTGTGCTCTTTATTCTGGTGACAGGGCCGCATATGTGTGTCCAGATTTTTGCAATAAAAAATTTGAATCTTTTTTTTAAATAATATAAAAAACTTGAATATTTTGTAATTCAACTTATATCAAATGCATGTTTAGCATCTGTCTGCTCTTAGTAAATTCTTAAGATAGAAAGCATAATTTACTACCGACAACTAGTTGTCATCGGTGACGCAACACGTGCATGTAGATGTTAATGATTGTCGTGTAAGTAACATGTCAACAACTGAATGACAGATATTTGGACCGTTTTTTTTGTTTCTGATGGAAATGGCAAATTACTGATTTAGGTTCTACATCAAAATTGAGGTTGATAAAAATCGAGTTTGATTAAAAATAGGAATTAGAATAGAATACAAATAGAATAAAAATCTGAATGAAAATATTATTCTAATTTCTAGTCAATTTTATATCCTATTCAAATAAAGTGTTTTTATAGTTCTTTTCTCGACATATAAGAATACAAACATGTAGTTGTGGAATTGATATATAAGTGAAGTTAATTCAATTATGTGTCATTTGTGTAAATTATGATTAACTTTTATGTATCAAATAACTATAATGTAAGAATTGAATGAAAAATAGAAGAACAAAATGCAATTAAATACTTATCTATTCCTTAGTTTTTTTTCCTTTTTGTTCACAAGTTTGCAGATTAGGCATGATGTAAAAAAGCATCATTTTAGTTCTGGAAGAACTATGTGCTGAATGTATTTGTTAATTTTTTCTTGATGATGATCCTAAAGTGATGCTTGAATTTTTTTTTCTTGGTTCCAGTATCAACTTCGAAAAGCTTCCTCGGCAGAAAGTGATGCCTTTCAATTTCTTAGGGCTGACAACCATGCCAATGTTATAACTTACTCAGATTTCTGTGAAGCACTTCAGCAGGTACTGTCTATTTGCTTTTCTAGCCCATATAGAATGGTTGTGATGGAACTATGCCAACTGTGTTTTTAACTTTTGCAGGTAAATCTAACTGGCCTTTCTTATGGATTAAGTTTCCAAGAGATAAAGGATCTCTGGACTCAAGCCGACACTGATGGAAATGGTGTTCTTGACTATGAAGAATTTAAGGTTTGCTACATCCCTAATTCATGAAACTTTCCCTTCCCCATTTCTCGTGTCCATGTTTTCTTTGCTTTGCTATGTTATTTGGTCATGCCAGTCAAGAATGTGATCGGTCTTGTACTGTAGTCTTACACGATACATGGTAATACTATCAAGAAGAGGCTTTTTCCATTAAAAAAAAAAGGAGCTTTTTGAACTCTCGCAAAGGTTTTAACAACTTCCCTTTAACTTGACCTAGGTATAGATTGTAATATCATCAAGAAGAGGCTTTTTCCCTTTTAAGAAAAAAAAGGGGGCTTTTTGAACTCTTGAAAGTGTTTTAACAACTTCCCCACTCCAGACTATTTTTTAGAAAATCCTTCAATGCTCCATCTCTTCCCTACTAATCCACCCTAAGAGACAACTGAAGCCCTTGACTGTTTCATTATAGACCTCTGATCGGTAAACATGACAAAAAGATTACTAAGTTTTGATATTCCTGCAGAGGATTTGGAACTCCACATGCTCAGAGCAAACAGAGGAAAATTATGATGAAAGTGTAGATGAGTATAAACAGAGCACAGAAGAAGCCATTGGTTTCAGGGTGAAAAGTGCAGTTCTCTTGCCCCATGAAGTGGAGAGAGGAATGTGGCCTGAGAACTATACGCTTTCAGATCATGCCCGACTTACTGTGGAATTTTCGCCAGTGAGGATGCAGTGTTCTTCATGAAGACATGACTAGCCCCAAAAAGTGTTGGTACATAAATCGAAGGGGAACTAAATTTTGCAAAAAGCTGTTTGAAATCTTGCTGTATAGATCATAAAAGTCTGATTTTGGGTTGCGTCACCTGCAGTTGTGTTGGGCTGATAGATAGTAGTATATAGGGGCATGTTTTGTAGCCATTACACTTAATGGTAGGCACTTTTTTTGCAGGCAAAGGTAACATTGTATATCTGGTGTTCAGTTGTAAAGTGAAATGCTAATGGAGAACAGAGCCCTATAAATTCACATAAAAATGTAAGCCGTGTTGTGTTATATTCTCTTTTCTAACGAGAATAAACACTTTGTAAAACCAATATTTATAACCCAACAAACAATTTAAGATGATCTTTTTAGTATTGAAGTTGACAAAGTAATATTAAGATATATAATCATACATTGAAATTACTGTTTATTGTAACTGCAGTGAGTTAATTTTTATTAATTTAAGTGTAAACAAATTCTCAATTTAGATGAAGTCGTAACAGAGAATTTAGCCCTGTAAGAGATTTTTCAATAAAGTAGGGTGAGGAAGACTAACCAATGATTTTTTTTCTGTATTTGCTATTCCCCTTTTCTTAAAAGTAGAAAAGGTAAATTAGAATGAAAGAAAAATGGTACACTCAAATGTCAATCTTTGTTTCAGAAATACATACATACATACATATATATATATATATATGCACGTATATGTATAAATTGACCTCAGGCTTATTTAGTTGAAAGAAGTGAAGTAAACAAGCATTTGCTAAATATGGAAACACATCTTTAAATTATAACGAGATAGAATTGAGCAATTTACATAAGTAAGAGTTGGCAGAGGTTAATTAAAATTTTAACCCAAAAAAACACAGTTTAGTTAATAAAATTAGAATTTCCTATTTTATTTTACTCTACAGTAAAACATTTTGTTTCTTTCTATTTGATTTTTAGTTAATTTTATATTTTTAATCTTTTTATTAGTTTAATAAGTTAAGATTAAAATTCAAATTTAAATGGAAACAAGAAAGTGAAGCATTGAAATCTTTTAATTTTTTTTTTAACAAAAAATTTATATATTTTATTTATTAATTAAATAATACTTTTTAACTCATATTTTTATAAAAAAATAAAAGTATAAGTTATATAGGAAATAAATATTTAGTATGGAATCTCTCAAATTATGGAATTCAGTTTAAATTTTAACTTTAGAATTAAAATATATATATATATATACATGTATTTGATCATACTTTATAGAAATCTGAAATGTGACAAGCCCAGTAGAAGAAAAGAAAATATAGAAAATCACAGAGTTTATAGGAAAAAATACAAAAATGAAGAACAAAAAAAGAAAATGTAAAGCGTCGCGGGAACGCAGTCCAGGGCCATGTAATTTGCCGACGCGGTTTTGCTGGTGGTAGGATCCACTTGTATCCATGAGACAAAAAAATGTCCGTACACCATGAAAATTCCATTTCCAACCTCCATTATCATTCTGTTTTTACCTTCTTGACTAAGAGAGAGGGGGAGAGAGAGAGAGAGAGAGACTCAAGTCAATCTTTTTAGTCTTCACTAAAAGTTCCATTCTCTTTTTTCTGCCTCTGCAATCATAATACAGTCCGCCACTGCCTTGTTATATTTCTTGCTTTTAGATTTAATCTTTCCCAATTCCTTCCGTTTCTGTTTGTTCTTACGAGACTGATCAGTGATGGGGGAGCAAGAGATAGTTGGATACCGATTCTCTCCAAGCGATGCTGAACTGGTAGGTCACTATCTGATGAACAAGATAAAGGGCAATGAGTCCAAGGTTTTCCCAGTTGTCGAGGTTGATCTTTGCAAGAACGAGCCTTGGGATTTGCCTAGTAAGTATTTAACTATATACCCACTAACACATTCCCTTTGGATTTCACGGGAAGTAAGTGTCTATCTATTCTACTTTTCTTTTTTTTTTTTTTTCTGGGCAGATAATTTTTAGAACGATTTCTTACAAAACCAAAAATGGATTGTGAATGCAGAAATAACAGAGCGACTGGGAATAAGGTCAAAGAGTCAAGTGTGGTATTTCTTTTGCGCCCGAGTTTCCAAGTATAACAACAGTAAACGCGCCAACAGAACCACCGCCGCCGGTTACTGGAAAGCTACCGGCAAGGATCGTAACGTCAATGACCCAGATACCAACCGGGAAATTGGTGCAAAGAAGACTTTGGTCTTCTACAGGGGCCGTGTCCCTAATGGTGTCAGGACCCCCTGGGTGATTCACGAGTATCGCCTTTCAGATCCTAAGCAGGTTTACTATTTGCTATTCAATTTTCTTATGGATTTCTTTTTTCAGTTGGGACAAGCCTTGAGGTGATTGTTTCTTTGGAATTGTTTAAGATTATATCATAATCTACAAGGTCATCCTTATTGTTTAAGATGGAATAGTGCATCTATGTATATGCAATGGGCCTTCTTTTCTTTTTTTGGAAAGAAAAACTATTTGTCTTTCTAAGCAGTGAAATATAGATGAGATATGCATGTGCCTAAGTAATTTCAGTTCAGGGCTTGTTTACACTTTCTTCATGAGAGATTTGATAGTAGTTATATAGGTAGGTTACAGCATGTATATTTCATGCTGTGAATCATGTTAATGGTTTGTGATAGTCTATCCTATAAGCTCTAGTTCATTTGTCTTTCAATTTGTGTAGGATGCTTATGTTATATGTAAAATGAAGAAAAAGGGAAGTGAAAAGACAGTGGATTCATATGGTGATCGAGGGGAACCAAGTCGACCTCCTGTTTCTGATAATGAAAATTATGCACCCAGAAATACAATTTTAGAGGTGAACCAACATGCCTGCTCGATAGGTTTTTCTTATTGACATTTCATATGACCTGTGAGAAGCATATCTGGCACTGATACTGGTGATCTTTAATTTCTCTAGGAGATTCTTCAATCTCAAGTAAATGCAGATGACTACTTGGCATCACTCAATGACCATGATGTTTTAGATCATGACTGGCACGTTAAATTGCCGGATGAGGGGATCTCGCTAAATGACTTAGATTGTTCCATTGACTTGAGCATTGATCAGAATGGGCCACAACAGCAATTTTATTTTCCTGATGAAGAAGAAGAGTTGGATCCGGAGTTCGTGAATGCATTGTTTGCTGATGAAGACGAATCTCCTCATGGAGAAACTGTCCACACGTTTCGTCATGGCTACAGCCAACCAATGTCTGTTACAGGAGTTTATTTTGAGAATAGCAGTGACACAGATACTGAAATTCTCCATGGAAGGGTAAAACATACTCTAGTAACTGCTGCTGAGAATATTCCAATAGCTTGTAGAGTAATTCTGTAGTAGAATATCATTGGTATAGATTGTAATAATGTTGTCTCTTGCATTATTATAACCGTTGTAATTATATTCTACTATAGGTGGTAGGAAGTTCTTTAGGGGAATATTTGAGCTTTTATTGGTGTCTTGTCTGGGTCAAAACTCATGCTTTGGTCCACTACAGACAATCTACTTTCTGGGAATAGCTTACAGCTTCCTGAACCTTCCTGTTTGGAAGACTTAAAAACTAACAAGTCTGTCTAATATCTTCATCTTAACAGAGTGGCAGAATTCTGGAAGCAACTGGCTCATCAGTTGGCTCTTCAAGTTCAAATCAACACAAGCAGATGCATGTAGAAGATGTTTTCCATGGTGATGAGATCTTGAAAAGAGACTCTCTTTCTGAGCTGTTGCATACAGATACACCCGCCAGTGTAGAACCTTTTGTCACTACCAACACTTGTAAAGCTCAATATCGATCAGTCCGTGGCTTTTTGACACAGGAAAGTCCCAAAAGATTCCAGCTGCGGGAACATGAGCCTGCACTCAAAAATCAGGTGGGATAAAAGTTGTAAAACATACAAAATTAACACTATTGAAGTCTACTAGACATACAGGTTAACTCCTTAACGATTCTGTTCACAGGCCAAAGAGGTCTCAAAGCAAGTTACTTCTGTTGATCTGAGAAAGAAGAAAATTTCCATGAAGAATTCTGAAAAGCAGCAAAAAATAGTTAAGGTTTCTGATGGCCAAAACCAAACAATTGCAAAGGGTATGTCTTCTGGACCAGTTAGCAATGATAGGAAGGGTCCTTTCATTTTCTTTGAGAAAAGTCAGTCAAGACATGAACCAAGTCCCCCATCGTTGTATTTTGGTAATGTACTTCTAGGCTTATTTTTATTTATAATTGTTGTTAGAGAAGTAGTATATTGTCATTGAACGATGAAAGTTTCTGTTAGGCATGTGGTTTATCACAACAAGACACCAACGAAGGGGCAAGACGAGAGCCGAACATTGAGAGCCATGTGTATATTTTGCCTGCAACTTAGTGGTAGTGAGATTGAGATATAAATGTGTTGAAGTTTGTCGGTAATGCAAAGTACATAATTACTTAAATGTTCTCTTAGCTAGTTCAATTTGGTTGATGACAAACATGAAATTAGACAAGAGTCCAATTAGGTGTGTAAAACGATTACTCTCTCAACCTTCAGGATAACTCAACAATGGCAGTTTAAATTGAGATATAAATATGACAGAGAACTTTTTGTTAATGTGAAATTTATATTTGTTCTTGCTTAAGTGTTTTATAGCTCTTCATGATAGACATGAAATTGAATAATAATCCAGTTTTAGGTACATTTTTAAGCTGTATAGTGTCTGTAAATTGTTTTAAAGTTATTCTAAATCAAGAGTTTTAAAAAATAAATCAGATTGGAGTGACAGAGCTACCAGTCCATAACGCAGTATGTCTCATATATATATATATATATATATATATATATGTATACTGTTATATTGTGTTCTACCTCGTATATTTTTCTACGTATAGTTCTTGTCTTTTGGTGTCGGCCCATTGGGTCTAATTCCATGTCCTGCTAATGATGTTTTCCAACATCTTCTATTCTTACAAATTTTGCATTTTTTGTCCACAATAATAAACTATTGAGTAAATTTCAGTTTTAATTTAAAATCTTATGGTTTTCTTTTTGACAATTTTTTTACTTGATGATTCTATTTTTTTTTTATCAACTCCTCCAATAGATACAGTATTTAATTTTCTTTCATTTTTCTAAGTAACGAATTTAACTAATATGTAACTCACAAGATAATAAGTTACCCAAAAATTATAATTCTAGATTAAAGTATGAAGAATTTAGATATAAGAAAAATAGAATAGAGAGAATTTGAGTTTTGAAATGGGAATTTGGATTAATAAGGGGGAATTCTTGGGCCAGAATTTGCACCAAAATCTTGATAGAAATGGGATTGTAATAAAAACTAAAGTAACCTCAACGGCAACCAAAAGAAAAAATGGGATTATAATAAGTTGGAGAGTTGACAAGAGAAAGTTCAGTCGTCACAAATTTAGCAGGTAAATTACCATGCCATGACAGTAACTAGGTTTTACAACATTGGCTGCTCCAGCTCTGACTGATGAACACATTTGCAATTTGGTATGTACGTAAAACTTTGACTGCCCAAGAACTGTCACTGCAGCTCAAAACTCACATAACATAAACATCAGAATGATTTCTATGCAAAAAAAATTAGGTATCAATAGATTTCAGTAACTTGACGACATTAAACTCTGGTGCCTGAGTGATCAAAAACTTTATAGCATGAGCACTGAAGCAGACCCCTAAGCATATATTCATGGCTAACTCTGTCATCACTGGTTCACATGGAAAAAAAAAAAAAAAAAAAAAATGAGAGAAAGAAGCTCATTAGGGAGTATGAGAAAAAAGCATCGTAGTTTAAATTGCTGGTTTAGCATTGAATCAGCCATGTTGGTTATTGGCTGCATAATTATCAACTACCTTTTAGTGCCACTGCATTTGATGATAGGACAAATAAGTCAACTATAAAAATTACAGACGTTGGAAATTCCCACACCTGCAAGATAGGTAAGGTACTTCAGATTATGTATGCTTCTCTGCTTCATGTTAATGATATAGACTATCAAAGAAGATAACAAGAATGAAGAAAACATACCATCATGGCGATTAGAAAGATCTTGAAGTAACTTGATATTAAGATTCCTAGCACGAGGTCCCTGAACCTGTAAAATCCCAAAAGACATGACTCAAAGTAAGCTCAATTGTTAGACTATGGGTTCAAGCCACATGCAAAGAATGTTAGACATGGAAAATCAACGGTGGGATCATTTTCAAGAACTGATTATGGCTGCAAATGTCTTAACTTATCCAACTTGTTATTAAAAGACTTTTGGACAAATCTCCAGAATCATTTCTCAGCCGCCCCCATTCTTCTTTTCAAATACAATCAACTATACAAAGAACAAGTTTAGTGGGGAGAACATTTTACATCATAAATAATAGTTTACTGTGCAAAATTTCACGCACTCTACGTCATGCCATAACAATTTATTTAGGTTACACTTTCACTAAACTGGAACACATAGTATGTTGCTTTTTTTTTCCCACTTGTGCTGAGACTAGAGGGCAACTGTATGGTATGAATATGGATCTAGTGTCTAATGTGATAATTTCTACAGTCGAAGATATGAGGATTTTGTCAACAGAAGTCCAAAAGTTGGGTTGAGCTACTTAGATTTTTTTTTGAAATAAAAGAAGATAGTGTTATTAACAAAAGTACCAAGTAAGTACACCCATATACAAAGTGGTTACAAATCTATCAAAATATCAAAAACAGCTCCAACATCCTCGTGCCCTTTAATATCATGACCCAAAAGCATAAAGGCAAAAGAGTAAATCCAATTATCTCTAATAACATTAAACTCTTTCTCAATACCCTCAAAAGCTCTCAAGTTTTTTTCTTTCCACACCACCAAAAATATAGAAAGTGGAATTAGCTCAACAATTTGTTCTTTATACACACCCCATCCCAATCCCACAATTCCTCCCTCACACTCCCAGCCACTACCCAATTTAACCCCAAGAGATTGTAGACCATAGACCAAATGTTATAGGCAGCAGGGCACCATAGCAGGATGTGGTTACAAAACTCCTCTTTCTTGCACAAAAAACATCTATTAATCAGAATGTCCCCCCTCCTTCTGAGCATAAAATAATAAAACTAATATAAGCTCACTGAGAGCTAAGATGATGTCAAAGACAGAACAAAATACAATAATTACCATGAAAAAGGTAGCAATTTTACATTAGTAACAAAGATGAAGAAAAAATTTGATATTAATTAACAATATATATTTTATTAAGTATTTATCATACAATTTCAAATTTTAGATATCCAAAATCCAAAATTACCATGTAGAATACATGTTCTTTTCAACTTCTAACCTAAGAGTCTCTATCATTGTTTTTGCATTATCTTATACCATAATCTCTAATTCTAGATTAAGTTTCTGACGTAGAAATCCAGTGTCGGACACAGATTCCACAACCACATCAGTGGCCTATTGTCTGACATAGACAAAGGACTAAATCTAGAGGATGCGCAATGTACCTCTCATTTATAAATCAATTTTAGGCTATTCTAGCCCTCAAATGCTTGAAAGCAGACAAGATAATTCAATCCAAAAACTAAAGCAAATTTTAACCTGGAAACTCCATTGGATTTCTTTAGCAAAATCCTCATTGCAAGAACAAGAATGCAAAAAAATATAAAGTTTCCAAAAAAGACATCCATCAAAACCTGTTACAAGTACATTGCAAAAACCCATCTGTTAGATATCATATAAATCCAAATCCATCAAACTCCAAAAGCAAGAATTTATTTTCTTTGAGTTATATGTACAAACCTTTCTACATGCTGAAACAAAGAAAAAAAATCCCACAGATGAACATGATTCTTCCTCGCTTCTCAAAAGCAGACTTCTGTCTTAGATAGCTAAGGCACTTTGTTGAGTAGTTTTCATTGGATAGTAAAACTATGATTGAACTATCCGAACTTTTAAACATGAATATCATTGCAACATAAATGGATACAAGAATCCAGAAGTAGGAAACCAGCTATTGATTTCCACAATAATTGCTGCAAAGTTGTCAATCACCAATCCTGTGTCAGATTCAGCAAGTATGCCAAAGGCATCTATTTTCATGGATCACCAAGTTCATCACAGCAATTAAATTATAATTTAACTTCAAATACCCAAGAAAAACACTGAATTGCATTTTCTGTGGAAGATAGGATCTAACAATAATATTAAAGCATTCTAGACAGATTCATAAATCATAACCCACATGGGTTGGCATTTCAAACATGCCAAACTTCTTATACCCATTAGCCATTGCATAGAGATCTAAATGAAATAAGGGTGCATGTTAGACTTAATAACAAAACCTGCAATTATTCATCAAAACTAATTTCTCTACTATATATATTTTTTTAAATAAATTTCTCCATTATATTTTCACCCTGGAAAATTTAATTAGAAAAGAAAAAAGGAAAAAAGTCTTTTTTTTTTTGTGTAAAGTTACCTTCGAAGTTTCTTGATTGAGTACATTGTAAAGTAAATGCCTATAAGCTTTTGGCTTGTGCAGAATCAAGTCAATCAAGAGAATCTGCAAAACATTTTACCAGAAATAATAAATATTACCAAAAAAACAGTTCATAAAATAAAGATGTAATAACTACAACGAAAGTAATAACTTCATAGCAACAAGGGGCATTGAAAATAGAGGAAATGAAGAAAAAGATTTGGGTAGAAACCATCAGTTCACATTCAATATACTCGTCTGCAACTGCTTTGCAATTTTCCTATCAAACAGAGGAAAAATTTCTTTTTGTTATAAATCAACTAAGTTAAAAACAAGAAGAAATTAAATGAAAATTCTCAGAGAAAAAAAAAGCACACACACTTACACATTTCATAAGTCTAATGTTTCCAGGGGAGTATTGCACGAAGAGGGTGTTGACCCGAAACCCGCACTCCACACACCTGCAGACCATTTTCTCTAAAAACTTTCCTCACTTTTCAACTAGAGAACCCCAGAAGTGAAGTCAGTCACAACTGATACTCAGTTATGCATTACTGGCAAACTCTTGCAAAATGGTTGCCAAATCCAGTTTGTCCTTATCGAAACTGAAATTAAGATAAAACCATAATTATTGGTTAAGTTTTCAAATTTTACTGAAATTCCTTATTCATATGTCCTACGCCCTTCATTCACATGCAAATTACCAAAATATGGAATAGGTTACACGATCTGTGTAAATATGATGTAAGAGGATAGTTAGCTAGGTTCTCTACAAGCTCATGCTATTAAAGGGGAATGAACCATTTCATAAATGAGCATGTATTGATGAATAAAATCAGAACAATTTCATCTCTGTTCCTCGGCTCTCTCTCTCTCTCTACCCTCTGGTTCTTCTCTACCCATCTCTGTGCTTCTCTTCTTTCTGTATTTCCCCGTCAGATCTCTATGACACAATATTGTTTCTCTTATATGTCGAATTCATCTTCAAACCCTACTCTGGATTGTCAAAGGCTCTTAATACCATACATGTTTTCTGCAATTAAGCTTCTATCTCTAGTAAGAACTTTCATTTTGATAGATACCCATTTGGGATTTCCATTGTATAGCTTGAGGACAAGATGATAGTAAGCTTAGTTACAACCTAGGGCTGTAGAAGGAGAATGAACCATCTTGCAAATGTGTCTGCTGATGAATGAAATCAACCCATAACTTCTCTCTATTTCCCTCTCTCTATCATAATTCTTCTCTGCTTCTCTGTTTTTCCCCATAACATTACACCATTTTTGTGACTCATCATGCTAGTATACTTAAAGAGGCTGATTGATGGGGCAAATGCAAAACTTTCAAAGTAGTACTGGAATTTGGAAATGGAATGCTTTATATATATAAACCAACCTATGTGAAATTACGAACAGAAAATCTGAGGAACTATGAACAAGAAACATGCACATTCATGTACACTTCAAAGTTCTAATTTTTTTAATTAGAAGTAAACTCATTGTGTCTTCAATTTACATTTGAAACAGATTCTAGCTAGGAAAATTGCATTGACAATATTGATCATCAGTGAAGACATAAAATCCAGTTGGGAACTTACTAGCTATGCTGCTATGGAGTATGTACACCCCATAAAAGCGTAGGTGGCGCTAGTTGGCAGTAAAATGGAGAAAGCTCTCGCAAGCAGGGACGCCGGGTAGCGACGGAGAGTCGCCGCAAGCGGCACGGCGGCGTCGGCAGGAGAGTGGAAGTATGGTGAGGGATTTTGGAAAACTTGAAACGACAAATAAAAATGGAGTGGCTGTATCTTAATAGATCTTAAAATTCTTAAATTTAATTTTTTAAGAATTGTAAATAAGTTTCTTAAATTTTAAAGTTAAAGAGATGCGTTAAGAGAAATAATTTTTTAAACTTCCATCTTTTTTAAAATAATTAAAATCGATTTTAAATATATAATTTAAAATAAATAAACTTCGTCTTTTAAATTGTATATGGAATAATTTAAATAAAAAATTTTAAAATTTTAATATATGCTCAAATTTTAGAAATAAAAAGAAAGTATGTAAAATTTATAATTTTATAAATTTATATAAAGTTTAGGAAATGTTTCTAAATGTTTTTTTTTTTTTTGAAATTTCTTAAATGATTCAAATTGACATAATTAAAGTTTAAATAAATTAAAATTTATATGTTGCAATTAAAATTCTAATGATTATTTAACTAAAAATTTGACCAAAATTTAATTAAAAATAAAAGTAATTATCGAACTAAATAATTTATTTTATTTAAAAATGATGCAATGAAAGATAAAAATTTTGCAAAATGTATAAAATAAACTTTTATACAAGAACTAAAAGTGTCTAATTAAAGGTTATATTATAGTAACAGTTTAACTAAAACTTGTATAATTAAAAATTATATTAATTATTTATAAAAATTTTACTAGAAATACTAAAAAATCTATGCTTTGTAATCGTGATTCTTGAACTAAAATGAAAAATAAAATTACTAAAGTAAACTAAAGATTCTATTAAAATTAAAATATTTAAATAAAATTTTACTAGATCGTAAATTATAAAATTAATTATCTAATTGAAAATTTCCTTGTAAGAAAAAATTATAATTGAAGATAACTAGCTTCATGATTATTAATAAATGAAAACTTTTGTTTTAGGCTTTTCAAATCCTAATTAGATAACTATTATATTAATTAATTTGACTAATGAAAACTTTTATATATATATATGTAGTTATATATGTAGACAGCATTTATAAAAATATGTAGAATTCGATCCCAATATTTATAGAATAACTAAAACATAAATATTAAATAGGTTTGTAAAAAAAACAAATTACTAAAACCACAAATTATATAGTTTAATATAAAAATTAAGATGAATGGTAAAAAACTTTGACTATAATTTCCACATTTTTAACTATATATATAACAATAAAGTACATACAAATTCTTAAACCGGAAAATTAAAAAAAAAAAAAACGTGTTCAGATAGGAAAGTGAATTTAAAATTTACCTTTTCTCTATTTTTTATTTATTCTTCGGACACATATAAAACCTCCAAACTAACGGAGCCGTGAATCATAACTGAGTTCTGATTTTCTGATTTCTTGCATACTCACATATATCTATATATATATATATATATATATATACATGTGGGTGTGTAGGGGGATATTGGAGAGAAAAGCAAAATGAGGGACTGAGTTGCATTAAATGCATATATATACGTATAGAGACAAGAACAACGTGGTCCATGCAAAATCCGGCTCAGCTTACTGTGTGGCACGCCTTTCCTGTACTCTGGTTTTCTTATAAATATAAAAAAATTTGTGGGAAGAAGAATTAAGAAGAGGAAGAAGAAGCAGACGATGAAGGAGAAGAATGAAAAGAATATATATATACATATATATATATATATATATATAAACAAAGACCTAACAATGAAAAAGAAGACTGATCTCTTTAATTCTCTCTTTTTTGTACCTTTTACCATCCACATGTAGTTTCTTTATCATCATCAATTATGCCTATTAACCCTAGTCATCCCCTATATTTCTCTTTTATATACATATATATAACATACGTACACGATATATATATATATATATCTATATGTGTATTACTTTCTTTTTCTTTTTAGGTTGCAGGAGAGAATCCAGTGGTGAATCTACTCAATCAATTAATTCTCTATTATCAATAATTTCAGCATGTTGCCATTCTCGTTCAATAATAAACATCTATGGACTGTCCCTTTTAACTTTGATATTCCACCCTCTAAACAACATTATTATTTAAATTAGTATGTTTAATAAACACACACAATTAACTTCACCTATCACCATATTATATAACTTCCAAAACCCTAATTACTTTATGCCTTTTAGAATAATATTACTTTTTTTTTTTTTTTTTTTTGGTTTTCCATTATTAATTTGTTTATCGACTTTTACTTTCATTAATTATATATATATATATATGCAATATTTCAGATTATTTTAGAGGAAATAAATCATACTTTGAAGGTAATCATATTAATCAGCAGCAGCTAATACCTAAATTTCATCAATAACTCAAACAAAACAAAAAAATAAAAAAAAAAATGTACAAAGAAAAATGGAGAAGAAAATCATCATATATATAATCCTCCTGTATGTATAATGTCATCAAGAAGAATTGGTATTGGAGATAAAATTTGATTAGTTTTGGGAGGCAATTTCTAATTCTACATACAATGTTGATATTAAAATTAAAGTAATTAGTCTACATAATTTATTAAAATTTTTGTTCAAATACTCTATGATGATTTTAGAATAAATTATTTATCTTTCTATTTTGTGCTATTCTAAATAATTTAGTGAAAATAAAATCCAAACAAAACAAAACAAAATCTTATAAATATGTTTAATTTTTTTGGTAGAAATTAAATAAAACTCAACTCGAGTAATCAAACTCTATTAAATACCAACAATACCATTCGGAATTGGAGTACTTGTTACGTAATTTACTTATTGTGTTATTATTTTTTTACTATTTTATGATTTATATTATTGTCAGGTAACGTTGTATTTTAACTATTATTAAGAGTATTTTAGTACATTTGTGCTATTACTTTTTTACTATTTTACCGTTTTTGAAATGTCATTTGCTGGCTTAGAAATTTATATAAGATAATAAGTTTATTTTTTTATACGATTTTCTTCTTTAAACTTTTAGAAATAATGTAATTTTTCATTAGAGAAACTGCCAAACAAATCATTTTTGGGGTAAATTTAATGTATAGAAGCCATTATATTCTCTTTTTATGTGCGAAGAAAAAATACATTTTGTTACTTATTTCTTATACTTAAACTATGTAAAAGAAAAAAAAAAAAAAAAAAAAAGAATTGCTGCTATTACTTCAGCTCGTTCTGACTGAAAAAGGGCCGTAAGAAACAGCTTCTATCTCTTCTCCAAACAATCAGATAGTATATGTATATGTATGTACATACAAATTCGAACTAATGAACCATAAATCACCCTGGTTGAAGTACATATCAATCATACAAATTAGCCAAAAATAATTACTTAAATTTATCATCATGATTAATAGAAACCTCAAAGAATTACAGCTTTCATTTGTTTATGTACTTATATACATGTGTGGAGGGGGGTGGCACCGGCAAAACTATATATATATATATATATATATATGTAACACTAACTCACTTCTTAAAAAAAATCTCAAAACATGAAATAATAACTCGATCTTGCGAATCTATATGTGTATACATATATTTATCAAGATTGATATTAATTGAAAAAAAAAAAAAAAACAAAGAAAGTAGTTTGGGGTTGGATTTTCGGGTTTAATTTCTAATTAGATTATTCTCATCCTGGTTTCCTTGAATTTCTAATTAAGTTATAGGCGTTAGTACTGTATAGAAGTTGAAATCAATCAAACCAGGTACCCTATCATTTCTATTTCTTACTGGCTAAGTAAATGAGAGTTTATGCAGATATATACATATGCATTGGAATATATGTGTGCGTGAATATAAACTGGTAATAGTAATTAGTGAAAACCGTATATACATATATGTGTGTCTTTGACCAGAGTAATTATTATGAAATCCATATAAAGCTGAAAACTTCAATGGGAAAAAAAAAAAAAAAAAAAGAGAAGCTATTAACAGCCAGCTGGGTCAATTTTTATACGTTGTGTCAAACAATATTGGTCATATATGTGTACATATATATGCATAATATACATGTAGAAAGAAAATACAAAAGATAGGTCATGCGTACTCCTTGAAAGTGATTATTGTAAACATAATAAATTTATCAACTTGCTATGTATGTAGAGAGCATTGACAGACACGTTTCTTGTGCTCGAGAGTAGATGCATGTACGACCCTCTTTGAAACCATATAACAGTATTAGTTCTTGCTTTAAATTATTAATATATATATATATGTATACACATACATATATCTATGTCTATTACTACAAATATATAATGAAGTAGCAGCTATAACTAACCTAGCTATCTTTATTCATTTTGTGAAGATTACATTTATGGTTGATTACACACTATATATACATACTATATATATATGTTTGTGGGCGTATGTGTAAACTGCTTGGAAATGCATGCAGTATTTTTTAATTATTACAAGAACAGAAAAAGCATATTCGTGAAGATTTTAGAATTTACATTTCCAAAACTTTGCTACTCGTACGGTCAAGAACATGTCATCCCATTCCCCAATAAGCATCACAATGCAGCACTTAGGACTGATCAAATATTGAAGCCTAATCTAAGCATAATATATATATATATATATATATATATGCTTGATTTATACATATATGACCAATCAAGCTTTTGGTTATATAAAGATAAGTGAAACTGCCAAGCAACTATTAATTAGATCCATCATTTAAATCTATAGGGACAAAAATGAAACTGCAACTGCTATTCTTATGATTAGACATGAGAAATCAGTTTTCCCCCTAATTACCCATATAAATTAATCGTAATTAAAAGGCTAACCCCTTATATATGATATTTTAATTAATCTTTTACAATTAATTAAGATATAGATGAATAAGATGCGGATAAAAATGTTCATATATGATATGCATGTAATCTTACATGCCTATAATTTGCTATTATGAGCTATTCATGGCTTATGAGCTGGAATTGATTGTAAGCAGTTGCAAAACTAGTGACTGTACACCTTATGAGATGGCCTAAAGAGTTATAGAGAAATTAAGATCTAAAAAATATTACTTGCATTTGTGATCTTATACAGTATAGATTATATATAAGTTATGGAGCTTAATTACCTTATTAAGGAAAGTGTTCAGCCAGTTTTCTTCAAAACTACGCAAGGGATTAACTGTAAATAATGGTTATGCTGATGAAAACATTTCTCAAGAGTCACAAAGAGATCCGTAGAAGGTGGAGATATATAGGAGAATTGGATGAACACTCCCATGAAAGGAAAAACATACACTGTGTGTATATTATATACATATCAGATAGGAACTGACGATGTATGTATATACCCTTCTGTGTAGTGAAGAAAAATCACATACAAGGACTTGCAAGTGAGAAATATAACTGAGTCTTTGGAGATATATATATTAGTCTCATCGTACCTGAGTTGGGAACTGGAACCTCCTATCCTTTCTTTGACACAAAAGGGGCTTTTTGGTGTGTTGCAATCCAGACAAGAAAGCAGCTGTAAAGAGGCATGAATTTACCAAGAAAGATAATTAAAATAAATAAAATGGGAAGAGGAAATTACATGATAGTAATAAATTCAGCAGCAATGTGAAAAAAGATCTTACCTTTTACAGACCCTTCAACTTTCTGCCCATCACCTGCCGCAACCCTGCTCAACTAAGAAGCAGCAAGAACAATAACCTAACAAGGTAATAGAAACAAAATAGACAGAAAAAAACCATAACCAGCTTGCTAGGCAACAATGCTGTCAGTGGAAAAGAGAGAGAGAGAGAGAGAGAGAGAGAGAGAGAGAGAGAGAGGGAGAGAGAGAGAGAGTACAAATGAAGTCGGTAAAAGACCAATTACAAGGCATATAGTATATATAGTGAGCAAAAAAGCCAGGGCCTAATACAGGAAACTTTGAATTAATTGACATGATTGAGAATAACATATAATGCTGATATAATATCTGTATATGTATTATACACAATTGAAGGATTTTCAGCTTCATATTGTGGTGGCACCCTCTCTTTCTTCTGCAGCTCTTTTACAGATCCCAAACCCCAACTAACAATGTACTATTAAGGTTATTTTTTTCTTTTATAATAAAAAAAAGGAATTATGCAAAATAAGAGAGTAGAACTGATGGAATACTAAAACTTATCTTCCAATTATATATCTTTGATAGCCACCCATATGGCAATTAGATGTCAAGCAACAAAAAGAGATTCATTCTACCGTTTGAGTAACGAAATCTCCTGTTGTTTCCCAGTTGGTTGCATTATATATATATATATGTGTATGCGATCATAGCTCCAAATCAAAGGACAAGGAAGATTTGCCTTTGTCTGAGTAGTCGGTGGAAAATGGAGCACTACCAGTAGGGGGCAACCTGAATTGGGGAGAAGGGAGAGAGGAGGAAGGTGTGTGAGAAGAAAGAGCTGAACCCAGTGAGCCACGTGGCATGGTAATTGAGGATTGGTCATCTTCTTGGGGGCACTCCATGTTCACACCAAACAGCCTCAGCCTCTTACCTGCTGTCTTTGATCCATGAACAACAGGCACGGAATCAAACACCATATGCGGCAGTCCCGCAATTTGATGTGGCTCCGATGGCCTTATGTTGCCATAGCCAACAATTTGCTGCTGCTGCTGCTGCTGCTGGTACTGACTTTGATCATGCTGATGATGATGGTGGTGGTGGTGGTGGTGGTGATATGGATAAATCCCATAATTCAAGCGCTGCAAATGGTCGTAGTTTGGGCGTAAAGGCAGATGAGATTGAGGAGTCATGGAGTAGAGTCTGCCCCACCGGAATATCTGAGGAAAGGAGAGCGGATTCTGAAATTGATTATGTGCGAGCGATGTGGGATCTGCCGCATCAGGTCGACGCCTCCAGTCAATGTACAAACGATCCTTGCCTAACTCCCCAACCCCGCGTTGAAACGACACGATGTCGCCCGCATCGAGCTTCTTCTCCTTGACAAAACGACTCCAACCTTTGGTCATCACGTAGCTCTGGCTACTGTTCCAATAAGAGTAGCGGAAACGCCATGGCTTCCCGTTGCGGTCCTCGAAATTTAACAGCAGACCCTTCTCGTTTGATGAAGCATCAAGAGGGAAATACTTCTCGGCATGTTGCTTGGGTATTACCAAGCGGTTAAGTTTTCCCACATCGCTTGGTGTCACAACTTTATCGAACATGTGTTCTTTCTCAATAGCATGATGAATATCGGTAGAAGTACCTGCGCCGCCGCTAGCTCCGGCACTTTCTTCGTGGCTTGCAAGTGATAAGTCCATGAGGAGTGTGTTTATTGAGGAAACCGAAGGTTCCCTTTAGATGGGTTTTTGTAATTTTGTTGAGAAGATATTCAAATTGATTATCAGAATCAAAGGTGCCAAACCATGGGACGTATTGCTGATCATCAGAAACAAAAGGTTCGTACTCAATTAGAGGTGTGTATATATAGCAGATGATGAAGAGTAGGAAGTTAAAAGAAAGAAAGAAAGAGAGAAAGAGAAAGAAAACTTACTCGTTTCTCTTATCATCACTTCCTCCTCTTCTTCTTCTTCATTATTACAATACCCTTTCCCTTCTTGCACAAAGTTCATGATGACCCACCTTTAAATTTACCTTGTTTACCACACACACACACACTTGATATTATGATTGAAATGAAAACCAACCACAGAATAAATGATTCAAAAAGTGAGAAAATATAATAAAGAAAAGTTGGGTTTTGCCTCACCTTTGTAAATATATACTGGGTTGGCTATGATTTTGCTGCCGTGAATCAGATCTTGGATTGCGACAAAAGGGAATTCTCACAGTAAAATAAACAGGCAGGTTCGGTGCCTTCTTCTTTGACCAGAAGAAAAAGAGAATGAGAAACCACTTAAAACCCTACTAAGACAAAGCGAGAAAGGATAATATTCTCCTTTTTGTAGCTTGCAGCTGGGTCATGATATAAGAGCCATCTCCCCCTAATTAAGTGAAACCAGAGAGTTGTCTTTTTTTTTTTTTTTTTTTTTTTTGAGGCTCTTAAAGATACTGTAAAGAAGAAGAAGGAGAAGAAGAAGAAGTAGAAGATGAAGAAGAAGAAGAAGAAGAAGAAGGTATATGAGAGAGAAGAGGAATGGTAATGGTAGTAGGAGTAGTAGTACGTAGGGGCCCATGAATGATCTGGTTCGGGTCATGTGAGCTTGTCCTTTTCATCATTTTTGGGTTATCTGTATATCTTGTGCGCTAAGACCCAAAATGGCCAGTTTGGCAAAATCAATTCAGCTTGTGATCAAATTGCCTCCAACTCTAGTTCTTCATATTTTTACTTCGTTTCAATGCAAATTTAAAATTTAAAAAATAACGTATATATCTGAGTGTTTGATATATATCTCTTCTTATAAAGAAGTATGGGTTTAAATGTGAATTTTTGTA